GAACTGTGATCGTACTTGGGGATTTCTTAACATTTAATTTACAAACTAATCCCAATAGTGGTAATTTAGCATTTTAATACAAGTATGCGTAGAATGCAATGCAATGACTCGTGATTCCCAACCTTGGACTCAACCGATCCCAAACTAAAACCTTTACTGGCCCTAAACTTGGTCTCTATCGGCCCTAAACTTCCCATTTAAAGAAAAACGCTAATCGACTTTACCGAGGTGAGATTGATAACTATCCCTAGTTCCAAATCCAGCAGACATTTGGGGCCTAGTATCAACTTTTTCAAATCCTACACCAGAACGCGTTCCCTCTAGGTCAAGTTTGCACCGGAATCGTGAAATCCGATTCATTTTCATAAAAATCATTTTAAAATACTTTTCTTATTCCCATTTCCCGTCGTGTCATGCATATACATCAATCTCATCATTTATTTTCACTTTCATCAACATAACAATAATAGAATAACCATAGCATTTTTTTATAACATTATCATTACATGGCATTGACTAGAAAATGAACATAAGTATGGCATTGTTTATACATCAACTTCAAACATGCTCATCATAGGCTTCATATCATTACAATCATGATATTTTCACACATAGTCATCACTTCTACATATAAGTAGCAATACAAGCTCCTGTAGCATGAATTAACATATTTTTCATCACAACTAGCATGCTTAGAACACATTGTCACATAATCATCAACTTAATCATATACTTGTCATTCAATAATGAAATTCAAGATGAATCATATAAGAATACTCAAATAAAAGGTAAAATATGAAACATTAGACAACCCCTACCTTAAATAAGCTAACCAAACAAAGCCTTAAGGAATCCTTAATTTCGAACTTTTCCAAACCTTAGCAAGACCGGCCTCAAAAGATGGCCCTCGGCATGTAGAAGAAGACTCCCTTCTTGACTTTCTTCAAAATCACACCCTAACCGTCTCAAATATAACTTACATGTATGTGTGTAGAGATATAGAGAGAAAATAAGATTTTTAGAGAGAGTGTGTGTGGAAGGAAAAATCCCCCTCCAATGAAAGTCATCCACGTCAACAATAAGGAAATATATTCTTTTATTTGTTAATGGATTGTAAGAAGCCCAACATAGTTTAAGCCCAAATAAAACCGCTACTAGCCCAATCTTGCTAAATATGACGTTCTCAGCCTATTTAGCTCAGCCGATCCAAGATATATCCGGCCCAATTCCGTATATGCGAAACAAGTCCTATTACGCTAAGGATCTTGCATAAAAGGAAAGTCCTACAAAAGGAAGAATCTTACAAGGGAGATAATGCGAAAAAGTCAGTACACTAATTAGAAAGGAATTGTATATGGAATTAATTGGAGGACAAGCAAGGCGAGTTCTACCATAATTTCACCATCTTTTTGTATATAAATAGAGGCTCGGACCTCCAGTAAGATCATTGAGCATTATACGCTTTTCTCTGAGTATTATAATTGCTTATTTTGAGTGAGTTGTATTTTTCTTTTTATTTCTTTTAATAGAGAAAAATTTTGCACCTACACTTTGGCGCCGTGGGCACCGTATAGAAATATACTCCCACTTTTGTTTCAAATCAATTCTCTTATTACGATCTGGAATGTCAAATGGAGGATCTGCAACAACAGCTGATCAACAGATGGAGTTGATGTAAAAGATGCGAGAAGAATTCTTGCACCAGTTCGAAACACTTCGTCAGGCGAACAAAGCTAGTATAGCCCAGATTGCGTTGCTTCAACAACAAAATGACACCCTTCAAATGGCAATGGCTTAGTTAACACCACAGCCACCACCAGGTGATACGGCAGCGCCTCCCCCCATCCAAAACATTTTTCCAGTTAATGAGCCTCAAGCCAATGGGGCATGGCCCAAAGAGGCTTGGCCTAACGAAGTTCAGCAAGAGCAGAGGACAAGAACCGAGGCGGTATATTCGGACAATCTCCTTCATTGTATGTAAGACGAATAGGCCGAATCTAGCCATAAACTTACGGTATCGACTAATGGTATTCCGGATGGAGCTGGCGTCCAAGATGCCTTTAATGAGAAGAGGTTCCTAAGGATTCAGACTCTCGCCGAGATGACCAAAGAGTATAAGAACTCTTTGGTGAGGACTCTGTTCATCGACGACATATACCTCGTTGATAGACCTAAAAAGTTTACCATGCCTTCTTTCACTTAATTTAAAATAACAGGAGATCCTTCTTGTCAACTCGACCACTATGCACAGAAGATGGCTCTGGACGATCACAATGATCTGTTTATGTGTAAGGTTTTTCGACTACTCTAACGGGAGCTGCACTAGAATGGTTCAGGAATAGGCCATACAAATCCACCCCGGACTACAAAACTTTATGTGCTATGTTCCTGGCACAATATTATAGAAACAAGAAACAGAAGAAAACCATCGCTAGTCTCTTCACCATAAGGCAAAAGAGAGGAGAAACGCTACAGGATTTCTTGTCCAGGTTTAACATAGAAGCCTCGAAAATAGCAGATTGTCATTCTGCAATAGCAATAGAAACATTCAAGCTTGGTATGATTCAGGGAACTAAGTTCCATACCTCATTAGTTAAATATTCCCCTCCAGATATGCAAACTCTCAATGTTAGGGCATAGATCTACATACGACTTAAGGAGAACGTGGCTCACCGAGCACAGTATGCCACCCTCGTGACGGTGGAAAATAAGCCTCGGGAAAAAGTTGCAAGCTCAAAAAGTTAAAAAAGCTAGCATGCCTCGACACCGGTCGTTCAGGTACTTGAAAAGAAGCAAAGGACAGAGGAAAGGTTTACACCTCTCTGCACCACCTTGGCTCGGCTATTCCAAGAAAACAAATCAAGATTCGCAGCCCCTCAGCCAATGAGGCAACCCTTGGAGCAAAGGGACAAGAGCAAGCATTGCGCCTACCATAGGGATTACTGGCATACAACGTAGATCCCTAAGGCGACAAGTGGAAAACATGATAACCAGGGGTGAGCTAGTGGACTATCTCGCGCCAAAGGAGCAGGTAAGGCCTAGGGAAGTCAATCCTTGAAAAGTAGAAGGAACCCAAGTAAAAGTAATTCATGCGATACATGGGAGGTCCGAAGATGATCGGGAGTCGGAAGAGGTATACCGATCCAGACTAAGGATAGCCCACAAACTAAGGAAATTGTCCTCGATAAATACTATCACTTCAAGTAGTATCAGTATTGGGTTCGGCGATGGAGATTTATCTAGAGTTCAGCTTCCCCACGAGGATCCACTTGTCATTAGTCTTCTGGTGACAAATTGCATGATAAAAGGGTTTTGATAGACCCAGGTAGTAGCGCCAATATTATCACAAAGACGGTCTTTGAGCAGCTGGAGATCTCGTCATCATCAATTCGGCCCACCTCCGTCCCTTTATGGGATTTGATGGCGCGAAGGTGGACCTCCTTGGGGTAATTGACTTATCCGTCACTGCGGCAAAAAGGACACTGAAGGAGAACATTGTTCTAACAGAGATCTATTCGTCTTATAATCTCATTATGGGAAGAGGCTGGATACACCGAATGAATGGGGTTCTATCTACCCTTCATCAGGTGATGCGATGCTTGTCTCCAGACGGTAAGGAGGTCATTAATCTTTGGGGAGATCAAGTCGCCGCAAAAGAATACTACATGCTGACACTAAACGAAGCAAAGAAGATGAACAAACAGCCTCAACCAGATGCAATTCCTAGAGGTACGTCTAAATAGTAATTACAGAGCCCTCTGCCCAAGTATCTTAAAGCAGAGAAGGAAGCCGAAGTTGCGAAACCTACCAAGGAATCTCTCGAAACCGTCAAAGTTGTCCTCGGCTGTCATGCCCCTAGACCATAGTTTCGGATTGTGAACACAACACACAAACAATCATAGTCTCAAAATCAAGAATATCCCTGTAACCTATCTCAACCACACATCCACCTATCTATTTCTCTTTACAAAATAAGACTGAAAATAAATAGATAAGATGCAAATATTACAACTTTAAAGTTTTAAAGTCTGAAAGAACATTTATTACACACCAGGAATATTCTAAAGAAATATAATACAAAACATAGTCTATTATGCGGAATAAATCTTTGTAGTCTATCAAATGGAATTTCAAGCCTCCAAAGTCCAGAAAAAGTGAAAATAATAGACTTATAAGATCTCCAAATTACTTATAAGTTTTTCTGAAAGATGAAGTCTGATTTATATTTAAAAGACTGACATGGCCAATCCATCTCACGAATGAGTGATTATTTCAGGATATTTTTGGGTCTGTTTGGTTAGTCAGAATTTGATGGTAGAAAGTGAAAGGAAAAGAAAGCGAAGTAAAGGAAAAAAAAAATTTTAATTTCTATTATGCATTTGGTTAACATGAATTTTTTTAAAGAAAATTATGAGAAAATATTGTTTCATTAGTTTGGATGGAAGGAAAGTAAAAAGAAAATGATTTTATATACAAAAACTACCCTTACTAATTTAATATAAATAAATAAATATATATATATATATATAAGATTGGGTTATGAGAAAATGATTATATATATATATATATATATATATATATATATATATATATATAAGATTGGGTTATGAATAAATAAATATATATGTGTGTCCAAAATACAAATTTGGTAATTGAATAATTTTTTATTTTTTTATTTTTATTTTAAAATTATATATTAGGACTCTACTAGTGTATGAGTGTAATTTTAAGAATCATAAAACTGAAATTTAATAACATAATTTTAATATATCAATGAAGAAAGAAATGAATGAATAATCAATTAATAATGGTATAATAGGAAATCAAAATATAATTATACAACTTTCGTGGGAAACTAAAAATTTTTAGTGTTTTTCTAGAGAGAACATTTTCAAAAAAATCAACTATTCTTAAAAAAATTCGTTAAAAAATTTAAAAATTTTAAAAATTTTCTGTTACTTTTCCTGCTAACCAAACTAACCTCTTATCATTTTCCAATCTATAAAAGATCGTGCTTCCTCTTTTCGGCAGGCTGCAGCCGTGTCCGTCCGGCCACTGTCCCACTCTCTCTCCACGACCCCACCACCGTTTCTGCCGCCATCGACTCTCTCTCACAAGCACTACTCTCTCTCTGTCTGTCTCTCTCAAAAGTTTCTCTCTAATTATACAAATTGAGAAGGCTTCAACACTTCTCTTTCTACACACCTTCCTCTCTCTCTGTTGTTGTTTTTCCCCAATTCTGGAATCAAATCACCTACACTGGTCAAAGCTCTGCCATTTGGACTGATCGAGGACAAGACCAGACCAGACCATTCTCGGACTGGAAACCAACCTCTGATCCGTCGCCCAAGATGTGGCAACGAGCGTTGAAGTCTAGGGTTTTGCAGATGTCTGTGTTTGAAAGGGGATTCATTGAAAGAACAACACATAAGCTTGTGGTCTGAGATCGAATCGTCATCCACTGTGAATTGTTAAAATGAGAGAGTGATAAATTAGTGTTTATATTGGTCTTGATAGTGAATTGGAGTGGAAATTATTGATTCACTTCTCAACTTTTCAATTCGTATATACACACATCAAATCTACCAATTTCTAGGGTTTCAACTTGCTGAGGTCAGTATAAGCCTTTTCGATTCCTATTTTTTTATTTTCTTTTTATATTTTAAAATACTTTGATTCATTCTCTGATCGTGTACTACATTTTGTTAGTATACCAAACAAATTGTAGGGTTTTAATTGCTCTGATCGTGTACTACATTCTGTTTGGCATGTGCTGTACATAAACACACACAGACGCACAGAAATGAAGATGGAGAGAGAATCAAATGAATCAGTGCTCTGATTCGGGGTTTTGGGACCAGCTCGATTTTCAAATATATAGATACATATATACACATATATGTATATATAATAGGTCTAAGGGTACTGTCGATAAATTTTAGACGGTCAACTAACGATTTGGGGTTTTGTTATTTCTTTAGAGAGAAGAAACTACAAAGTTCAATGTGTTTAATGCAATTAAACCAAGAACAAATCAATAAGCTCTTCACTCACAAGTCCCAGTTGAGTTGAGAGAGGTTGAATAAAAATCGAAGTGGGGCAGTCGGGCTAGAGCTGGGTGTGCCTTTTGACCCATATTCGACTCCACATTCAAACGTCGAATCACTTTTTTTTAGGTTAATTTCACAGACACCCCCCTCAGGTTTAGCCAAATATCACCCTCAAACGTCTTCCGAAAATAACTATTACTAGCATCACAAACTTTTCTCTGTTTTTCATTAACACACGATTAGTTGAACTGTTATGACACGATGTAAACTGACTTAATCACCCTTTGAATTTGTCAAACCAACCCTTTAGTTTAGCTTAAAGAATTAGATTAAAAGACTAAAATACCCCTAAAAAGTTGTAAAATTACAAATTACATATATATATACACAGACATATATATACACACATTACACACAGAGCTATAAAAAAAACAGAGGATCATTTACTTCCAACAATTGGAGACATCAAAGATAATAATTACATGGAAAGAGGGAATGTGCTTCCAAAATGCATATATACTCATAAGAAATGCAGAGATGATGAAACAAGTACAGACCATAAAGCACAATTCTTAATTAAAAGAATTCAACAATTATATATATGAAAAGAAAAGGGTTTAGTTCACCTCACTTCACCCAATTCAGAACTTCTTAGCAAATCCATTCCTTCACATGCGATTGATACATTCCACCCCAAAAACTTGTATTCCATCCCTTCTAATCATTGTTTGAACTTAAGAACAACCCATTTAAAAACATTGGGATATAAATAGAAATACAGACTACCTTACCAATAAAACGTAAAGTACTCTCATTTTTCACTATTTAAAGAAATACAGACTACCTTGCCAATTAAGGGGTAAAGAACTAATCCGCCGCCGCAACCCACACAGACATCCACCATCGCTGTCACCGCGGCCGCCCACACAATCCCAACGCATCACCAATCGTCGCCGCCACCACCCACACAATCCCAACCCAATACCCATTAGGGTAGAACTGTGAAGTCCATCTTATTCATTGATCTCCGTAAAACTCCATCTTACCCATCAGTTGCAATGTTTGGGTTGGTAGGTGGGTGTGGGGTATAATGGTCATTTAGGTAATATGATATTTTGGAATAAAAGAGATTAAAAAATTAGGTGTAAAGTTGTCTTTTCCCATGTATTTAACAGAACATTTAACGGAAAGTTAGAAATGGACCCAAGTGATAGTTATTTTCGAAAGATGTTTGAGGGTGATATTTGGCCAAATTTGAGGGTGTGTCAGTAAAATTAACTCCTTTTTTTTATATATATAAAAAAGAGTCTCAACATTTACATTTTTCACACTCAAAACAGAACGGAGTGTAATTAGCTTTAGGGATTCTAATTTTGTTATCAGCAAAAAAAATTCATGCCATATCTCTGAACCCATTGTTCATAGTTATTTGTACTCCTCTCCTATATATATATATACATAATTATATATGGGAATTGTTAGCTTCACTGATTTGATAGATGTATCAACAATCTTTGAGTTGTTTATCAGGAACATTTAAATCAGAGACATGGTGAAGGAGCACTTGGTGTCACATTTGCGTGCTTGTCTCAGTCAATTGAAAACAAGTTTTGAACATTGTCTTGGTAATGCTGATAATTATGCAAAGGTACTATTTACTTGAACCAAACCCTAGCTTCATCAATTTTGTTTTCTTCAATTTGTTTTTTAAGATAATTTTCACTTCATAAGATATAGACTGACATATGCTCTGTGTACCGCTTTCCCTAATTGCAAATCTATCACAATGTAAAAACATGCAATAACAGGTTATTGATGATTATTGGGTTAACTTATTTATTATATATACAGAAATTGAACCCATGAATCCATTTTCTATACTGCAGCCACTGGTAAAAGTTGGAAGTCATCAACACAAATGATGGTGTAAGATTAGTGTTAGGATTTCGTAAAGTGCAATCCATTTCGACTTCTCAATCTCATTTTGTAGTTCAATGATGGATTCTAGACATATATTAGATGTAAAAATCAATTGGACAGTCAAACTCCAACAACATGTTCAGACATGCTATAGATGTACCCTAGTATCTTTGGTGGACTTAATTAGCCTTCTATGATAAGAAATCTTTGATAATAATATCAGTTTGTTTAAACCTTTTCATGAGCTATTGACGTCCTTGCTGTCATATTTATAAAAACTTTTTTATGGCATAGAGGAACAAATCCAAGGAGGATTGCGTTAGTAAACTACCGGATGAAATGCTGTCTTCCATCATCTCGTTTTTGACCCTGACAGATGCTGTTAGGATGAGCCTAGTATCAAAAAGATGGAGACATATTTATGCATCCATGTCCAGCCTCAACTTCGATTTGTATACCATGTTTAGCGCACCTGATGATTGCAATTCTCAGCAACACTGTTCACATTTTTGCTTGCATTACAGGAATACATTTGTGCAAAGAGTAAATCAGTTCTTACAGCTTCATTCTGCTCCAAGGATAATGTCCTTCCGTTTTTCATTTTGCTTTGTAAGGGAGTTTGCTGGTGATGTTGATCGGTGGATCAGTTTTGCAGTTAGAATGGGTGTTGAAAAACTAGATCTGAACTTTGCATGCAGGGATTCCATTATTGTTGGTAGCATGTTCAGTGACAACTATAATGAGATGTATAATTTGTCCTGCCAACTTCTCTCTGAAGCTTCTAAGTTAAATCACTTGTGCTTAAGCTCCTGCACCTTGCAACTAGAATTCGGTTGTTTTAACAATCTAATTTCCCTTGATTTAAATCAAGTACCTTTAAGCTGCAATGAATTGCAGATGATCCTCTCTAGATGTTTGAAGCTTGAATGGTTGGGAGTGAGACGCTGTCCTGTTCCAGGTAAATTATGTATTTGTGGCCCATCCCTCAAGTTTCTGGAAGTATTCTGTTGTGCAGGCTTAAAGGAGATTGAGCTTTCTGCAGTCAACCTGACCACTTTTGAATTTTCTGAGATCTTAGAAACGAAGTTCTCTTTCTCCAATGTTCCCAAGCTGGAACAAGTGTTTTTTCGTGGTTATTACTACGATGCCATTGATTCTATATTCAGTGAGCTTACCAGAGATCTTCCTGAGCTCAAAATTCTATCACTATCCATGTTTACTCTCTATGTAAGAAGCTTAGCAACCTTCTTCCTGTTGCTTTCTTTAGTTATCAAGTTTTTGCATCATATTTATGATACTGCTTTTCATGTTAGGTACGTTACCCAAAATGGCCGACCTCATTTAGCAAAGTCAAGCAATTGGAGTTGTCTATTAATAATGATTTTGAGCCTGATCTTTTAAAGATTACTCCAATTCTAAGTGCTTGTCCCCTTTTACAGAAGTTCCATATAATGGTGAGTCACTACAACTCGTTAGTGCTATTGATAATTGTTTCTTTTATGGTGCAATGCTTCTAAATAAATTTTGTAGTTGTCTAATTTGTGTTATTTTTTCATCTCTCTCTCTCTCTCTCTTTCACACACACACACACACACACAAAAGCATGCTCACACAGAAACATCTGCGTTGGACATTGATAATTCTCGACACTTCATTCACATGTTCAGAATTTAAAAATAAATTTAATTATTGCAGGCTCTTAGGTAGACCTGTCAATTGATAATTCTCGACACTTCATTCACATGTTCAGAATTTAAAAATAAATTTAATTATTCCAGGCTCTTAGGTAGACCTGTCAACGGATCGGATTTGGACCGGATCATGGTCAATCCGATCCGAATCCGATAAGCATAATGAGTGATCCGATCCGGTCCATTAATCCGACGGATTTTTATTGAGTCAATCCGTATCCGATTTGTTTGATTATCGGATGTCCGATCCGATAGTCCGATCCAATACACACTTGCACAAATCAACAAAAAAAACCACACAGATTAGGGCATCTTGAAAACATAGAAACCTATCAAGTTCTATTCGTAAACAATAGAGGTACTATAGTACGAAATTTCAACATCACAAATACGAATTGGTGTAATTCAACATATAATATATATATAATGATTCAGACGGAGTTAGCTTGAAAGAGCTCGGTTTGAATATCAATTTCAGTGTTAAATCTCACACCATGTGTACGCACTGATCTACTGGTTCACCTTGTAGCCTTTTGGTTGGGGCTTAACTCTTAAACCACTGGCAAGGCTCGAAACTGGTTACACATAGAAGGGAAAATTTAATTACACCCCAGATTACTTTGAGGTATTTCAAAATACCTCTTCTTTTTTTAACTTTCAAAAAATATATATATATATATATGAAGAGGAGAGAAGTGAGATCGGATGAGAGAGAAAAGAAGAACACTAACTTGAGAGGAGTAATATTTTGCAGCCCGTCACCGATCGATGGGTTCATTTTTCTGATTTGTGTTGCAACTCTGCTACGTGGGAGTGTTTGGGGAAATCGTGGTTTTGGGGCAAGGGTACTGTGAGTGAGAGAACAGATAATGTTGTTGTGTGATATGGGTTAGGGTTTTGATAGATTAAAGGAGGAATGGGCTTGGGAATAAGAAGTGGGCTTGAAGATGAGTTTTGGGCTAGACTCATTTATATATATATATATATATATATATATATATAAAATTTTAATTCGGATTGGATTATTATCGGATCGGGTCAATAAAATCCATATCCGATTTGTTAAGATAAACGGGTTATCGGATTCGGATCATAAACGGGTTATCGGATTTTTTGTTCAATCCATATCCGACTAATCGGATCGGATTCAGATCAGAATCCGATCCATTGACAAGTCTACTCTTAGGTGACACTTTCGGAACCCTTGGCTGACACTCTAGACAATCCCGAACACAAGTCTTATATAATACGAACATTTCTAGAGTAACTATGTTCAGCAATCTTTGAAATATATCAGCACGTCTCAAATTGAAAAGTTTTTTTCTTTAAGGAAGATTGACATAATATACATGGCAACAAGTTAAAGCATAAATGATAACTTTTTTCGGATAGGACAAAAACATAATTGTAATAACAAAATAGTGAAAGAGTAGCATATATAATATAACAAATTAACTATCATTAGAATATTTGCATAACTCTATCTTCTAAAATATGTCACAGTAACCCTGCTATCGAAATTAAAAATGAATAAAACTTCTATAATAATCTTACTCAATAGATGTGTATATATTATATATGTGTGTGTGTGTGTGTCCATGTCATATGTGTCATACTTTTTTAAGGTATAACGTGTTGATGTATCCATGTTGTATCGTGTCCGTATCTATACTGCTTAGGTGTAAATTCTTTCTGGCATGAACAATAAACATGGGGTGCAATTATTAGCCTTTTAGCCCTGGTAATTTGGTACTAGAGGGTCGAAACAATCTGTGATGCTTTTTATACATATACTATGTGTGGATTACAAAATGACTTATCAAAATAATAATAATAATAAAATATGTGTAGATTACAAAATGATTCCACGTTGCATGATCCATTCAACTTAAATCCTCGTAAATGTAGATTCCATCGTATACAATTTGATTCCACTTTGCATGATCCATTCAACTTTACTCCTTGTGAATGTAGATGAGATCATACACAAGACGTAGTGAAGAAAGCACGAAGGAGCCCCCCAAATGTGTTCATACTCAACTGAAAGAAGTAGAATTTGGTGGATTTTCCGGCACCAGGAATCAAATTGAGTTTGCTATATTTTTGCTGAAAAATGCCATCTCCCTGGATAAGATGATTATTGATGTGCATTATAAATTGTATTTTGGATGTGGCAAGTGGAAAAATGGATGTATTTCTACTTGGACGGAAGATAAACGTGATGAAATCCATAAACAATTGCAGGGAAGGGTCATCTCAGCAACTGCAAAGGTGATCATCCGATAAATTTTAGATTTAATTAATGTTATAAGAGAGTATTATTTCCCTTGGTAGTTAAAACTTCTTGACCCTCAGCGAAATGGATGTCAGCTCAAAAGTTCTCCTTTTAATGTGGTGTAAATCTAATAGAACGATAATTCCTTAGAAAAGAGTTTAGCTTTTAATTATTACTATCAAATCCTTGGCTTGAGTGGTATGCCCTCCACCTCTCCGAATAATCCAGTGTCCTCCAGTGCGCACTTAAAAGCTTCCTTGGGGCATGAAAACTGCGCGGGGTGCCACTTTTTGGACCAAGAACAAAAAGAATTTGATTCAACAAGTTTGAGCCATCACTCGATATTCCTCCTTGTATTGTACTTTTGGCTTCTGTATATAATATATTTGCTTGAATGAAGGATATAAACTCTGCTGTATGGTTCCTGCTCACTGTATATGATGATGAAATATTAAATGATATTGTGTATTCACGGCTGCTGGTTTGCCAAGATTTTGCTCAACCGGGTGGGAACAGTTATTCCTCCTTTAGGCTCAACGTAAAATATTTTTTATGAAAAATATTTTTCTTTTTCAGAAAAAATATTATTTTATTTTTACTTTATCGGTGTTTGGCAAAGGTTTACATCAAAGTTGAGGTCGAGTTCATCAGGCAGGACATGTAAAATAACTTGTCTAAAATTGATGGATAAATTATTTTTGTTTATAAATATTTTACGACAATCAAATACCAAAAAATAAAAAATATGACATCAAGGATTTGTATATTCAAGCCGTCAATTTATTCAATTGTCACTTCTTTTTTTTTCCGAAGAACCCATAAAATCCTTAACACGTTTTATTAAAGGTTATTGCTCCCATAAAATCCTTAACACGTTTTATTAAGGTTATTGCTCAATGGATAACTCTATAATAAGTCTTTCCACTAGAGTGAATTTTAACAGCTTATAAGCAAACACCATTTATGCATACTCGTATGGTTTACATATGGTAAATTAATTAGGGGAGCAAATCATGCGGATTGGACAGGTTGGAGGTATAAATTGGGCTCAACTCAACTTATAATGCTTATCGGGTAGGTTAGAGGTATGACTTGGATCCAACTCGATGTGTAATGTATAATTTGGATTCAACTCAATATATAACACGTTCAACGCTATAGATTATTCAGTAATCTAATTTACTAATACACTGGATTAATATAAATATAAGACACAGCTCTTCAAGTAAAATTTTACTTGCGTATGTAGCAAATTATAAGTTATTTCTGTTGAAGTTGGGATAATATCCGCTTATTGGCCCAAACCGATCGGCATGCAAACAAACCAGGCTGATCAAGCCGGACCAATTGACCCTGATTGCAACGTAGTACGAGGCTTGGTTTGCTGGGCCAATCAGGTCACACAATAAGCCTAACATCCGGGTCATGAGAAAGTCGTGAGAAATTATGGTAATGTAAAACCAGGATCCTTTACAACAATGGTGGATATTCGATCATAACCTATAGCACATTAAGCAAAAGATCAGGTATATGTGGAATTAATCAAACACAACAAGGATAACATTGTCCAAGATTGGCATTGCAAGGTATTCAACATTGAGAGCCTGAGGAGAAGGAAGCATCAACAACATCAAGGTTTTCGCGAGAAGGAAAAAAAAAAACAGTTTCATTGGATTTTTATAATGTTGTTATACAGTTTCAGATAAAGAGAGAGAGACACAATTGCTAATCTAACTGGACTGAAACAAGATTAACGCAACAATTTGTTTACGATGGCCAAATCGAAAGAAGCACTATAAGGGCAAGCTAACTTGTGTCCTAACAACAAATAAGTAAAAACTGAAGCTTTACATTGATATTTGCTGATGTTGAGGTAAAACTGGTCTTTTTTCCAACATATCGTAGTGGAGAACAAAATTATCCTGCAGCAAATTTATGTGATCCATTCAGGGGGCTAGAATTCAATGGTAAGTACCCAAATTTGGGTGGAAATGAATGATGAATAAATTGACCAAGCAATCAAAAAAAATCCAGACCTTGCGGATTGTTTCCCACGTGTTTGGATCAAAACAAATGTAAGATGCTCTCTCATACGTGTTCGTCTTAACAAGTGGCTCCATGTTGGCAATCTTCATAAACCACAGTCGCAGCTCTCTATGATAGAACCAACCTCTGGTATAACTGCAAACAACAGGCACTCCTCTCAGCCAAAAAACTGGAACCAAGCTTTAATGGTGAGTAAAGTATGGCAAAATGCTTTTTAGGTACTGACACAATTTCAAAAATGGAAAACAAGGACACTCTAATAAATTGCATTTTGAGGTAGGTAGACATAAGGCATAGCAAAGGAAACTGGGACAAAAAAAAAACAGAAAAAGAAAGAATACAACGAACATAACACAGTTCAAATGACCAAGAGAGCATACAGTTCATTCGCAGCATGCAACTGGGCTTCGTCTTTTGGCATGCTGCATAATACCAATAACATATTATTCATTGAGTTCACAATAATAAGATTCAAGATTAACAGGAAACCATTAAGAATTGTACCTGTAAAAAATATAAAACAAGGTGTCCAATGGGAACTTTGAGAAATAAGCTTGCTGCAGCCACCACAACAATTTTAAAGAGAGGAAAATCGCCAAAAACAGAGCAGACCAACAAGAACAAAGAACAACTCACATTTAGAGTAGGTGGCTGTTTAGCAAAATAACATTGTGGCACAGTAAACTCAGGGTCTCCCTTGGCAGGCTCGTCAGACCATGGGGAACCAAAAGTCTTGTGAAGATTTTCTGTTGAGTTCAAATTCAATCCAAGTGTTGTCAGATCAATCCCGAGTGCAAGAGACGTTAGATCAGGGTCGCTCATCCTTATTACACTTAACAAACCAAGCAAACCATATTGGTCAGGAGCAGCTTGTGCAGCCTGCATAGATTTCACGCCCTGGTCCCTATATGACTGATTTACAGCAGAAATTTGCTGCAGGCGAAATTGAGATTGATTCTGGTGCTGCTGATACTGCTGGATAAGCTGATCAAATGACCCCATCCCAGAAACCGTATTTGAAGAACCATGAGGTCTTAATCCCGTGCCTGGTAGTCCGCCCGTCTGTATTAACATGACCAAACAATTCAATATGTTAAACCATAGTGATTAAAAAATCATTATGATTTGCAAGACCACATTGTAAGATAAAGATAAACGCCTAATCAGTAGGTTGACATATCAATAAAATTTTCCATTTTGAAATTGAAATAAAATAAATAAATAAAATACTCCCTCCGTCCTTGTCCATCTTTCTATTTTGGGATGTCCCAAAATACATGCACCATTAAAAATGGATGTACTATTTTTTATAGCATTCCCATACTATCCTTTTGACATTGATTTGGTTAAACAAGTGCACTAATTATGGAGTACTCCTTTGTCTTTTACAAAGATAAATTTGGAAATTCACTCTTATCAATGCAATAAAAAGTATTACCTCCGTCCTTGTCCATCTTTCTATTTTGGGATGTCCCAAAATACATGCACCATTAAAAATGGATGTACTATTTTTTATAGCATTCCCATACTATCCTTTTGACATTGATTTGGTTAAACAAGTGCACTAATTATGGAGTACTCCTTTGTCTTTTACAAAGATAAATTTGGAAATTCACTCTTATCAATGCAATAAAAAGTATTAAAAACCCACTACCATATAAAGTTGGAGTTTCCAAACACCCCAAGAATTTTGGGAATGCGGGAGTACAAAAATTATTGTTTTGTTCCATGTAGCAAAACAAACCAGTTCGACTTCCCCATGATATCCAAAATGAGTTTTTATTCTGATCATTAATTTTTAACTGCAACAAATCAGCTTCCATGACTACAGTCAGAAAGCCAAAACTCCTTTTGGGAATTTAGTAATTTACTGGCACGGCGACAGCAGTCGAGTGGCACACTTCAGGTGCTGGAGCCTGGAGTAAAAAGCAGGTGGATATTTGGGTTTAGGTGAAATATTTCTTTCATATTCAAATACCAGGAGTGAAAAGAAAACCAAAGCCCTTAGTTACATTTGCTTCATTGTATCCATACACCCCTTAGTTACATCTGCATTAAACGATTTCATACATAACACACCTGTGATTGATAGGTGGAATGTGACGATGGGAATATATCTGAGCTGTGTAAATGGAGAAGATCCTGATTGTTTATATTTGAAAAGGAAACACCACTGCTGCTGACTGATGGTGTATGTTGCTGTTGCTGTTGCTGTTGCTGCTGCTGCTGCGGACGATGAGATGAGTATGTCCCTCCCAGGTTGAATCCAGCAGATCTCCCCATCTGCACATTGATACATACAAGAATGAGGGAAAAAAGTGCATAATGCATCTGATGATACTAGCGTAACATTAAAAAATTCTCAAATCTTCACAAGTTAGCACTCACAGATAAATGCTGAGACTGCAACATAGACACAGTATTGTCATGAAGCTGTTCTTTCTGGTGCATATCCATGGTATAATCCGCATTACCACCTGGGCAAATCTAATAGCAGAGTCAATAACATGGGTCTAAAGATGCAGCTATTTGAAAATGTGTCCAACTCCTAAGCATTAGCGATGCAAAAATAAAAATTTAAGCTATTAGATTAATTGAGCCTGTCAAATTCCTTCACAAAAGCAGGTATATACTGTATATACGAGGGAACAGAAGAAAACATTTCATGCACATTATCCGAAACACGGACAAACATGCTTACCAGATAACAAGAAAATCAACAAAAGCACAGCAACAAGCACACTTAATACCACCAGAACAACTAGCCATATGAAATCAAAGTTTTAGTTGTACTTATTAGCTATTCAAATCCCAACTTGATAAATGATTCCACCAACTAGCATCAGCCGAAAAAAACAAGCAGAATCTAGTGGGAAACTCGCCCCAAAAATATCATTAAAAAATCAATAGGACAAGCTCAATCAGGTAATGATTTAAACAAACTACGTGTACCTGAACTGTGCTAAATTGAGCAGAGGAGCTGATCAATAGAGAAGAAAATTAATATAATATTAATTGTAATGGAAACCTATACACCATGCAACAATCCCCCAAAAGGATTGCTTTAGGTTCAATAGAATGAAAAGCCTTGTAACTTTTAAAAATACAATTACAATTATCTGAGTTTAAAATTACATATAAAAGAATTGTAATTCAAACAAATAGATTGTAGTGGAATAATTACCAAAAATCCAAATTAATATAAAAAGTACTGTGCCCTCTACCTGCTGTGAGTGGAGGGCCCAAAATTATTCCTTAGGTGGGACTCCAGATTAAGGAGTTACTTGCAATGCTCCTGAGAGAGATATCATTATCCCTGTTTTTATATTCAGGAATGCACTAAACCAACTTGTAAACTTTCTTCTAGTCTCTCTTTTTGGTGTCATAAATTCCTCCCCACAAAATGAAGAATTCCCACGACAATAAGAAGGATTGGGAAATATAGGAAATTTCACAAAATTCTCAAATAATTATAAAATTATTAAAAAAATCACACCCCCCAATCCTATCATGTGAGTTAAACATCATCTTCATGTCAATCAATCAGTCCTGTCTTCCCAAAAGCTCACAAAGATGACAAGATGAAGTAATTCCGATGATATCCACCAGGAGTCTTAATGTAAGTGTAACAAGAGTAAAATGCAATACCACCAGGAATCATAAAGAGACGATGGACGGTGACGGAAATAAAAGAGGAGGAAGAAGAGAGAGATCCAGATCCTCCAACCTAGATCCACCAAATGGTCCAAACCGAGCACATCCACAGAATCATAATTCAATTTCTTTGTTCCTATTATGCCATTTGACTCGCTTCCATTAAACTCATTGTGAAAGCTGGACACCCCTGAGACCAGAACCTAAGTTCTAAATATTCCCCCTATGACATGCAACATGGGCAATTAATGGTACAATTCACTCAGCTATAATGTGCTGACATGGAACTGAAATTGAGGTTCAGTTAAACAAATAATTATCCACCATAAAATCAATGAAGAGATATCATACGTTTTTAAAGTACCAAATTGTGTAGCTAGTTTTTAGCTCATAAAACTAGCATCTTTCCAATAACATGCCATACACAAAAAGTATGCAATATCATCTACCTTCAAAGTTAATGGGCACCTTTGAGAGCATAGTGGGACTGAAAGGAATAAATAAGGGACTATAACCAAAATAATAATGTTTTCAATTGCAGCCAACTATTCAGGAGTAAGATGACGCAAATTGAAACTCCCAGGAACCATTACCTACTTATCACTTCTCTTAGTCTCCAGTGCTGTTAGATAATCCAATTCAGCACTTAATTCTGAATGGACCAAGTGATTATTTAATTAAGTGCGTTTATAACGCAATTTGAATATAACTTTAAAATGTAAGCGCCACTTAAAAATGGGATAACATTTTAAGGGACAAGGACATCACTTATCACTGAATGCTGACCGCTTAAAATTCAAAAAATCTTCATTTTTAATCACCACTTAAAAACTTCAGCACTTAAAATTCAGTTCTTAATATATTCAGTGCTTAACTTTCAGTTTCATCAAACAGCACCTCCATTCCTGAGTCGACAGCAAAGAAGCTAAGGAATACACGAGAAGATTTTCTTCTTCTTTTTTTCATAATTGAGAAGATATTCTTTAAGTAGCCCAAAAAGTATAAATGTGCCTGGACACAATGGGAGACGAAACAAACAGGGAATGGAGAAGACTGGATGTGACCTAACACCTCTAGACTTAATGAAAAGCTTTTCATTTAAATCTGATTGCAAAAATCAACATGTTAAATCTATGGAAAGTCAAAAATAAACATTGATCTGTGTTGCATAAAAGATCTTGAATCAATGAATAGCCTTCTGCAGGTTTGGTTTTTTAAGAAAATTTAAAATAAAAGGTAAAAGTGCCCGGCTTTGGCACTCATTGCTGGCAGATTCTGGCATGGAATGGAAATGAAGTGCACAAATATACGACATTTTTGGGAAAGAAAATAGAAAAATAACCATCATTAAGAAAGACACATGGATAAGAGATATACAATCCGAAAACCAACAAAACCAAACAGGATACAAAACCCATAAACCCGAGCAACCTAACCCTCCAATGCCCAGCTTCTACCAGGTAAAATAAAAGTCAATGGGGAGTAAAAGCGACCCCTAACTGGCATCAACGAAAATTCTCCCTATGGGAGTGAAAACAAGACATTTAAAAAACTGAAATCCGGGATGTTAAATAACATCAACATACAAGCCTTTTTCTTGTTTTCCATCAATAATTTTTTCCCAGTCCCTAGCCTCAGACTTTGAGGTATTGCAGCATTTTACTCTTGCAGATCACATGTGTTGCACAGATTTGTAGCTTTATACATTCTGCACCTTCCTACATAATTTCCATATAGAACTCTCTAACAAGTTAACGCTCTAACAGTGGAGAAAAGCAAAACAGAAAAGAAAACAATATTAAAAATAAATAAATACAGACCAAGACACAACTATTAAGCACAGTAAGCACACATATCTCAACTAATACCCCCTAAATCTTCATAAAACAAATATATAATTCTATGAACCAATTCGTGTGCTACTGCAATAAAGGATTCAATAAAAGTGTTGTTCAGGACTATTATCCACCTCACCAACCATCATATGTTAAAGATTATATAATAGCATTACAACACAGATATAAGTTAGACCCAATATTTGATACAGATTGCATTACAACATAACGAACATAACTTACACCTGGTATTTGATTTAGATTGCAATATAAGATAAGCTGGGTCAACAAAATGTGAGCACCTTTAAATCCTGGTAAAGCCGGAAAATCTTCATTTTGGATGCTGAACTCTTGATTTTGTTGAACAATGGGACTAACACCAAGACTTTGTTTCCGCAGTGAACCTGAATTTAATTTTTGTTAGAATAATCATCTAAAACCAGGGTCATCAACAAAGAAGAACTATCAAGAAGCAAAAAGGTTAAAATTTTAGTTACCCAATTGTCCTTGAGGCCCACCAGAAGAATTGGGACGGCTGGTCAACTGAGGGAAGTCATTGATATCAAAAGGAGAACCATCATTGGTATTCACATCGTTCAACATTCCCATAGAGCTTAGGTTATTCATTGCTTGTACATGGCTTTGAGAAAGTGGGCCACCAGCACCAGGATAAGAGTTTCCTAGCATCGACATCATCTGTGGAGAAGCTGAATCCAGAAAATGTAATTTATTGTAGCTGAAGCATCATCTAGCAAATAAATAAATAACTCATCTTCTTCTTTACAGTAAAAGAAATTAATAATTTCACATGTTCTAACCAGATTAACAAATGCGTAAACAAAATTTAATTAAACATGGTGTCCACAAATGGTTAAATAGCTTTCTGTCCATTTCACAAAGCAAGAAATCATGCCCACAAGGTCAAATACCAAAGAAATATGAAAAAAGAAAAAGAACAATAATTTGAGCCTTGTTCCCACGAAGGCAGAAAAATATGATCCAAGCCAAGTAAACTTTAAGATGTAAAGAAAATAACCTCAATCACAGCTTTCTCTCCATGAAGCATAACAACAACAACAACAAAGAGAGAGAGAAGAAATACACAGTTAATTGAGGAAGAAAAATGAACTCGGTATGAACAGCACTAACAGGAATAAACGGACCTAGAACCAGCCTCAACCACATTAAAGGATATATATATAGGCAATCAATCTGACTCAGGTCATTCCAACTCCCATGGTATAAATTTTGCTCCAGACTGACTGATTTTGGAAAAATTGATGTTAATCACAAGCTTCTCGTAGGAGGTTTCAACTATTTCAGTTAGACTAAAATTATATATTGAGATTTGACAGGCCATTTGATTTACATCAAATCAATGACATTTAAGGGTAAAATAAATTGTAGTCCACAAGTAGGTGAAAACTGCCTACCCAAAAAAATTAAAAAAAAAAAAAAGGGTGAAAACCATGCAACAAGGATAATCTTCAACCACCTTAAAGGCTACAGGTAACATCAATCTAATTCAGGTCATCCCAACTCCCACAACATAAATCCTGCTCCAGCCTTACCACCATCAGACCAAAATCTTATTGTTGAAATTTATACAGATAATTACTACAAATCAATGATATTTATAACCAGGCATCTAAGAGCAGCCAGATAATCAAAACAGCCAGTGGCGATTAGTATTGGCTTTATCATGTTCAGAGAAGCACAACATATCCTACTCCTACCACCAAGATTTACCAATATAATAATGATTCTTCATGAAAAGTTGTCATTTTAGCATATCAAGAATTTTCCGCTTTGAAATATCATGCTCATATGCTCAAAATCAAAAGCCTTTGTAAACCATTCAGCACCAAATTGTCGGCTTTATCATCTCCCAAGAAACACATGATATCCTACTCCCAAAATATACTAATATGTACTGCAGATGACGACTCTTCATGAAAATTCATTCTTGCATATTAAAACTTCTCTGCTTTGATATATCATATTCATGCCAATATACACTAAAACGAGAAAAAAGCGATATTTGAATATTTTATTGTTATCTTGACAGCTGCCGAACTTCTAAAATCAAGTTCCATTGTGAAAGCCCCATTTATGGCTAAAGTCCTCTTTCTCATTATAATACTATTATGTAGATGCAACAGAATTTAATAATACTGTAAAAAATATTTTAATCATACAATGCCTTCCTGACAACTTATCAGACCTCCAAAAATGTATTAAAGATAGTATTCAGCATCCATGGGACAGTTATCATATTCTTTGCGGTTTGAGAGGAAATGCAGTCTTCAGGATACTAAAATAACTATGTCAGCAAGAAGTCCAAAAAGATCACATTATTCTTCCAAGGGAGAGTTTCTAAGTGACATAAAATGCAACATCATAACTGTAGTTGTAGCAACATTCTCTTGAACCAATAATAAAAAAAACCAATTCAATTTATAATACCTTGTTGGAGGACACCACTCATTAATCTATTTGGACCTTGCACAGTTAAATTTCCAGAACCACTATTGGAATTTAAACTTAGGCGAGAAGCAAGACCAGGAACCGTTAGTCCACCAGAATTTATGGTCCTCCCTATGTTGCCCCCACCAACTATGTTTCCAACTGAACTCGTAATACGAGGACCTGTATTTCCAAGAATCGGAGACACTCCCAGTCCTGGAACAGCATTTCGGTTACCAATTGCTGCAGAGGTTGGAAGAATCCCAGGAATAGAACCACCGACTCCATTCGTGCTACTACTAAATCCAGGGTTTCCAACAACATTCATACCTCCCCTATTTGTTACCCCTGAGTGACCATGCGAGCTACCATGAGATATCTACAAATCCACACAAAAAATGAAAAAGAATAGACACAATTGAGAACTAAAAAATAAATGATCATATAATTTATACGCCTTCATTTATATTTTATTGTCTTGTAGTCACAACATATTATATGGAAAACATATATGTCTACCTGAGAAAGACCAACAGGAAGATTGTTAGATGCAAATCGTCCACTAGAAAGGCTTCCACCAGGTTGTTGAACCCCACTTGAAGGAACACTATTTATTGTTGAATTTCTTGAAGCAAGTGTGCCTGGCATGTTGGGGACGTTAAAGCTCCCATGTATATTATGCAGCCCTTGAATAGTTCCTGTAAAAGAAGTTTTGGTATTAGTATTATATTGAATAAAATATATATAGTAAGGGGTCAATGGGTGTGTGAGTTCTTGCCAAGGAAAAAAAAATACTTCAGCATAATCCACTCACCCGTGTGGTGATAAACAGGGGAGGCCGCACCAGATTGAGCAGAAAAAGATGTAGCAAAAGATCGTCCAGTGCTGTCTGGAATATTTGAACCCGATCCGTTCAGAGATGACTACAGCCAGAAGAGTGATGATTTTGCAAGAAAGAAACAAATTAAACAAGCACCAGAGTAACATTTACGTTAATCAACTCATATCACTACCAAGTAAGTAATTGTGCAACCGGAAGCCAAAAGCTAAGATTAGCAAGACTAGTGATGAAAATAAAAGAATTCAACTACTATAAAGCATAAATTAGAAGAGAAATGCTTGAACATTTAATTTTCTAAATGCATGTCTAAGGTGTCTTATGGTCCCTTATGAAAGGTGTCATATTTATTCTTAATGAGGTACCTTAATATGCCTGTCAGGCACAGTTGAGACTCCTTCCTGCCACTCAAATTTGAAAACCCTGTGCTCCTTTCTCAAACAATTTAGAAATGTTTACAATTAAACCTCTCCTTGCGCAGAAGTTGGAGATCCCTAATCAGTGTGCTATGTCATATGTGCAGAAGGACCTCCTGCGTGCTCCTATTGAGTTCAACCTTATCTGAAGCACTAGTTGTTTGATATCTATTGGGCACCATGAAAGGAAAGATATCTTTGTGATTTTTCATGCTGTGCTACAAGTGAGGCATTTTATTGGTTTAATTTCTCCTTTACATCTAAACTTTCTTCAAGAATACCAGGTCCAAGATGTTGTAGAGAATTGCCATGTGTCTTACCAAAATAATTTTATGGGATGGAGTTTGATTGTGCATGTATTTCCAGTATTTCTCTCTTAATTCACTGTTTCTTACCAAATCCGACCTACACAGTAAAATATATCCCAAAAAAAACAAAAAAAAAAAAACAAAAGCTGACACAAAAAAAAAGTACACATCTAAACACGGACACAGGAGAGAGAAAAAAATATATATGTATCATTTTTTATATCCTGAGTGATAAAACCCAATATCATACCCAAATATCAGTTAAGCGTGCATAAAACAAATTAATCCAGGTTGAGTTTCAATAACAACCAAGATATCAAATATATCACAAATATTGCAACAACTTCCTAGCTATATGCAGTGATTACAAAGAATTCTTTCCAGTATTCATATTATTCCCAATTTAATGCTGAATTCCAAATAATTCCAATGGTCACAAATGCCAGTATAATCATGATGCATATATACCAACACAGAATGGCCCCCATTGTACAAAACTAACCCAAAAAGACACAATCTTAAAGACTATAAGAATAAGATGAATCAACAAACACCACATATTTCCATCACATTTGGTATCCAACAAGTGTGGAGAATAAAAAGAAAAAAGAAAAGAAGAAAGAACGCAATAACTAATTCCCAAGGCATCAAGACATACAATGTATTCATTCATTGAAAAAACAACCTAACAACAAGGCTAAAACTCTGGCATCATTGTTATATAAAGAGGTCATGTAAAGAAGAGACAATACATTAAGTAGCCCTGACATCGTATAAATGTCAAAAAGTCATGCAGGTAATTGTTCTTTGCTGAACAGCAGGTTTATGTTGTCTTCCGGCAAATTGAAAATATTCTGAAATTTGAAGCTGCTCCCTGTGTAACTAACCTATAATCTGAAAATACAACAGATTAGAGAAACAGGTCAAAAGCATACTTATAGGTTGCAACCAAATGCAAGCACAAGTTATAACATGCAAAAACAAACAAGAGACTGAAAGTAAGAGAACAATTAAATGAAATGAAAAGGCCACAATATACACATATATACACACAGACGAGAGACGGAACGCAAGTGACAAGTCAAGCATAAAAACAAAAGGTGTTGTCCACCTACATCTACTAACAGTATTGAAAATACATGACAATGATGCCAAACATTGAATCAATCCTGCATAGCACTGTTCTTGATAAAGTTCAGCTTCCAATTGCACTTGTCCCCATCTGAACTGATTTGAATGGAAGGCAGCAAGTCCATGGGAAATAAGATAATATGTTACAAATGTGGTAAAGAAGGCCACAATTCCTCTGATTGTTGAAAGGCAGCAAGTTCAAACAACCAGAGTTCATTCTGGAAAGGATCGTGTTCAAACCTGGGCAAAAATGCAAAGGATGATCTGAAGCCAATTCCTTCCATTAAACTACAAAGGAATTCTATTTCAGCATTATCAGTCCCTTTATCAAGGAGCTTGCTCAGTTCGGGAATACACAAATGAGTTCTATAAGATGAGAACACGAGTGCAGTTGGCTGAGACAGAAACACAGGTGATTCATCGTTTTTTAATGGGATTAAGGCCAGGCATAAGAAAGCATGTGGAATTACAGCCTTGTTGGACCTTAGCAAGTGCTGTTCAACTGGCAACGAAGGTTGAAACACAACAAAATCAGTCCAACAACCATTCAAATCAGTTCAGAAGGGGACAAGTACAATTGGAAGCTGAACTTTATCAAGAAAACATGAGTCAGAAGGCTGGAGCAGCAAACAATGCTATGCTGGAAAATAATACAGCACATGTTGCCTATGGACCTGGTCGAGGCCAGGGATGTTGAACGACAAATACTACTACTGCGAGTAGTAGTACACCATTTCAGTCCATGGGAAACAAGATAATATGTTACAAATGTGGTAAAGAAGGCCACAAGTCCTCTGATTGTCGAAAGGCAGCAAGTAACTTGCTTATCAATGAAGGTGAATCAAACAACACAGAGGGTCGATATGATGAAGGTCTGCTAGAATTTGAAGAAAATGAATTCATATTTGAAGATAGAGAACTTCCAAGTCTGGTGGTACGTCGAGCCATGTTAACACCAAAACAACCAGAAGGTGATTGGAGGCGAAGTAACATTTTCAGAACTAAATGTGCACCTCACGGACAACTTTACAACGTCATTATTCGTGGAGGCAGCTGTGAGAATTTAGTTTCCAAGGAGATGGTTACAAAGCTGAAACTAGAGGTGCATCCACATCCAAAGCCATATAAGATAGCTTGGTTCAAGTAAGGAGGTGAAGTAAAGGTGACAGAACAATGTCTTGCTCCTTTTTAAATTGGGAAAAGTTATTCAGATAAAGTTTTGTGTGAAGTGGTAAATATGGAGGCTTGTCATATGTTATTGGGTAGACCATGGCAGTTCAATAACAAGACTGTCCACCTTGGTAAAAAGAATGTTTGTGCCTTTTATAAGAATGGAGTTAAGGTGATCCTGGCTCTAATGGAAGATGAAGACTTTCCTAAGTCCAAAAAGGGGAAGGATATGCTTGCTTAACACCGCGGCAGTTTCTAAGTGAATTTGAGGATAGTGGAGTTGCATATGTGCTGCTGGCCAAGGAAAGAAAGGAGGAACTGCAAGAAGTACCGGCTGAAATTGACAAGTTGCTGAATGAACTAGCTGAAGTTTTCCCTGCTAACTTGCCTGCAGGATTGCCAGTTTGCCACCACAAAGGAGTATCCAACCCCATATTCGTGATCTGATTTGGGATGGATTCTTGGTGCGACATACGGCCAGATGTTGTTCCAATGCAAAAATCAGATTACTTCAGACCTTGGTTCATGATTTATCTTCAAGCAAGTTTTGAAGATTTCACAAGAGAGCTCTGAAAGTTTGTTCAAAGTTATTCTTTGTCAGTAACAGAGGCTTATTGTGATTTGATAAAGCAAGGAAAAGAAGAAAGAAAGGATGGAAGGCTTTACTCGGGCTCATCATTGATCGTTGTAAATTGTTTCAAACTCAAGGTTGAGTTTTCTTCAAGGAAGAGGGTCTGATGCAAATCAGTAAAGGTACTTTAGTCAGGATTATGACAGTCAATGGTGTCTCAGAAAGTATCTAGTCAAAAGTCTATTTAGCAAGTAATTATGATATGGGAATCTGAAATTGTTATGGGAATAGCAGAAGTCATTATTAATGACTTGTGGGTAGTTTGAAAGTCAGTTTAGGAAAAGTAAGTGTCATTAAGAGTTGTCTTATAAAGGCGACAACCTCTATATGTTTTGTATTCAAATCTTTCTCAATATAATTTGAGTTATTTTCAGAGTATAAACAGTTCTTAAGGCTTTTTCCCAGATTTCCCTTTGGAAATCTGGGCCCGACGGTGATTGGAGTATTCCTAGTCTCCCTTACAGTTGTAAGAAGACTTCTTCCTTTTTCTGTTTGCTTCACAAATGCAAGCACAAGTTATAACATGCAAAAACAAACAAGAGGCAGAAAGTAAGAGAGCAATTAAATGAAATGAGAAGGCCACAATATACACATACATATATACACACAGACAAGAGAGACGGAATGCAAGTGACAATTCAAGCATAAAAACAAAAGGCGTTGTCCACCTACATCTACTAACAGTATTGAAAATACATGACAATGATGCCAAACATTGAATCAATCCTGTAAGTACCTACAATCTAATCCACCACAAATTCATCACTCCTCATCCATTTTCCAAGTTCAAAACAACATGGCATCATACTTTCCTTCCAATAAATATGTGCATCATTTCTTACATATAATACATCATAATTTCCTTCCAGTGAATATTAGCATCATTTCTTGCATATAATACACCAAAAAGAAATATCACTTATCACTTCCCAGCAAGCAGATTACAAGTTACTTCTTGGATATTAGATATGCATGCATATAATTGCATTAAAATCTAACAATCAAATGTAACCATAACAAATTTATCTTGCCAACAATTAGGAATCTTCAGCAGTGGCATACAAAAAAAAAAAAAAAAAAGGGTAAATTTGGTTACATCAGAAGGAACATTCCAACTTCTGACAAATAAAAGGTCATATGAAAAAGAGAAATCCAAATTAGATCATGCCACGGCCTTCCTCAGTATTTGACAGTTGACACAAGTTGCTGAATAATGATCTGCTTGAAACATAATGCCCTTATCTATCTACCAATCGTGTTATTAAGTGGGAGATGATATAGGATTCCAAGCCTTCTCCAAAAGAAGGAACCACCCACCAAATATATATATATATATATAAATAAATAAATCTTAAGTGATTGGAACTCACTCAGAATGAGCCTCAAAAATAATATATATATCCACCGCTAAAATTTCCAGATTACATGCAACTGTATGAACTTCCACAATTATGAATTACCACGTATTAAGCTCCAATGCAGTTCCACAAGAAAAATTACTCACAAGGTACTAACTTCAACAAAATCCTCAAAAATTACATCCATAAATATAGTAAAAATTTATACAAAAATAATAAAAGGTAGAATGCAAATGCCCCTTTCGTTAAGTATCCACATTTGAAGGACAAAAAATGAATTCAATGAAAAAAAATTAGGCAGTACTGCTGCACAAATAGCACCATGCTACCACCCATTCACACAACCAAAGAATGTCAACCACCAACCACTTGAATAGTATAAAAATGCAACCACGCAGTCTCATTGCTAAACAGACACAGTACAAAAGCCATAAACAATTTTTCACTTACTATAGCAAAGAGAAATAAATAAACGGATACTTCAAAATTCGTCAAGAACAACATGTTATTGATCGAAAGGAAATTCACACACACACACACAACCAAAAAAAAAAACACAAGTTTTGGTATAAAAATGAAAACAGTAAAGCTAGAAAAATAAAATGTATAGTGGTTCAACAGTTTCAGATACGTTCACACACAAAGAACCGTTACAAATCAAAATTCACATAAACTACATATTGACATAATTCACCAAACCGTAGATAGGAAATTCCGGTTATTTAGAAATAAGTCGATCCCTCTCCAAGTCCCGAACCCTAAAATATATTGCCACGAATATAATTCTAGGGTCAATATATATAGATACAGGTACGTATATATAGAGAGGGGGTTTTATGTGCACTTACCAGAAAGATCGAGGAAGAGTCAGATCTGTGAGAAAACAGATGAGCTACTGATCTGAGTTTGTGACGATGAGTCGAAGAGAGAGAGAGAGAGAGAGAGAGGAGAGAGAAAAAGACCCCAAATCCAAGCCCCCACTAAATCTTAAACCACGGTTTAGTTTAGACGCGTCCTATGGGCTATCGCTATTCGCGACTGAAGCGTTTTTGCACCACTCGTGTCTACAAACTCTAAACACATTTTGTTCTAAAATCTTCATCAATTATATAAAGTGATTTGCTGATTTCTAATATAAATTTTCATATAAAACGAGTGCCTATATGTAATATTGTACGAGTAAATCTTATACAAAAAAAAAAAAAATATATATATATATATATATATATATATATATATATATATATAATGATGATAAAAAGATAATTGATATTAGTTGTATTTAGTGTTAGACAATTGTTTTTTTAAAAGGTAAGAGCAAAAGGCTAATCAAAGTTTAGGTCGAATATTCACTTCTAATATGCCCAGTAGATTTATCATTGGACTAAGGTGTTTTTTAATCTTTAGGTCTGGAGTTCGAGTCCCTGCTGAGTGTTCCTTATAACTAGCATTTGTGGACAAAATTAAACAAGGCAAGTGGCATTTATAAATATTGAACAATGAGCCTTAAGAGAAGTACAACGGCTGCCAGAATGAGATAGTATGAAACATGAAAGAAGGTGGATGAAGGGTGCGTGCAAAGTATTGAGGTTCGATTCAATCTTGTTCTTGCAGTGACTTGTCCGATCCGGGTGGAAAGGCGTCCTTCTGGGTTTTCGGGAATTAGTCGAATTGTTAAGGACCCTTGTGTTCGTGCCTTTCTGAATATTCCGAGTTAATATATAAAATTAAAAAAAATTGGTGGAATGACTTAAGATAAAGCGTTGGAAAATGTTTTTAAAAAGCTTTTAAATTTAAGTTGAAACATCCGGCATAATAAGAAATAATGAAAAAATAAATTTATAGAAGTTAAGAAAAACCATGATACATAGGAAATAAAAAATTCCCACTAATATAATTATGTTTTCATTGACATTTGAAGGAATAGAAGGTGTATACATAACAATGAATAAAGAAAATTTATCTGACGATAAAAAGTAAGGATAATAATGATAATGATTGATGATATATAAATATATATAAAAGATTCCCTTTATAAATTATTAAATTGTGTCATAAGCATCAATTTCTATGGATTTTTTTGTTTTTTCGGAAAGCTAATTTCTATTGAGTTGCTTTTGCTGGTTAGTTGTGTTTAATTTTTGTAAGAGAAATGAATCCACATCATTGACCATATATTCCAAATTTTCAATAGTCTAAGTCACTCAAATGATTTTGGAAAAAAAAAAAAAAAACACTTAATTACTTAAAAAAAAAAAATTATTACAAGGACAAGTCACTCCTCAAATAAATTTATTAATGGATTTCAAATTAATAACATTTTTTTTTTTTTTTTGCTAATAAAAAACTAGAAATACAATCCTAAAAATATTTAAAATAGGGATTATTACATATAAATGATGGTAATGACCTATATTTACTATCTAATAGAGTCATAGTCTTATAGTTTCAAAAAAATAAAGTTGACCAAAATGCTGATGTGGACCTGAAAAAACACTATTTACCATCACTGAGATACCACTTTTAGGCATATAGGTACCACTTTTTATGCACAGAGATATCACTTTTTATGCATCAGATACCACTTTGTTTTAGGCATAGATGTACCACTTTTTTTTTTGTAACACAAAAAGTGGTACATATGTGTCTAAAAGTGATACCTCAGAAGATAAACAGTATTTTTCCATGTTTTCATATTTTCGAAATATGAGACTTTGACTCCATCAAATGATAAATATTGACCATTAACACCATCTATATGTAACAATCCCTTAAAAATATGTCTATCCAAAATTTATTAAACTAGGAAAAATTCAATTACTCTCAGACCCCTCTTTAGAGAGTGGAGTGCGCTTAGAGTACCAAGTTACGTGTAAATTAAATAATTAAATACAATCCTAAACATATTAAGGATATAATTTTTTCTTAAAATTAAATATAATAAAATATTTAACCAGTATAATCATATATTTTGTTAACTATATGATTACAAATTCAAACCCCATCTTGGAAGAGTTCATCATCTCTCCTCAATGGAGTAACAAATTTTTTTCCCGGGCTGTGAACACTCTTCAATTTCAAATTTTTTTTTTGGTTTCTAAAAATTGTGAACGATTGTTCCTATGGAGAGAGTAATTCATAATTAAGCACGATTAGAGAAAACTGTATTCTTTTGGCAGATTTTATTCCTGATTTTGCATAGTTGACGAGTACAAATTTGTTTGGTTCTTTTAGTCAATATCTACAGCTATGAAGGCAGTGGATCATGATGAGAGTTGACTTTGCTTATGATAATTGGGGGAGAGATTAACGGTGATTATGCTAGTTGGATACCAAGTAAGTCATGGACGATTTCGTGTGCGAATATGGAATGAACTCTCGGTTAGTTGCTTCCGAGAATTATTGTAATTTTTGTCCGTCGGCCTAACTGACTCGTAATATTATAATTTTTAGAAGATCGTGGAATGCATATGAGTGATCATATCAGGTTCGGAACATTTCAATTGGGTTGAATGGGATGACAATTTCTCAGTCGGATTCTGTAAAATTAGAATTTCGATTAAATCACACATTGCAATATACTTAGTCTACTAGAACTTCTAGTTCTTTAAAAGATTTATATAAAAGATTTGCAATAAAAGTAAGGAGACGCTTCAAATACCACACATGGGTTACTGGGTATAACAGTTTGATGTAGCCCATTTCATATATGTGTATCCGAGAATCTTCTTGTTATACCAAAAATGCATTCTCATGGTGCAATGTTTTGACATCATCAATTACTCCCTCTTTAAACTCAAGATCGTTGACTCATGTAGTTTTGTGCACGCTTCCCCCATTTTTTATTGCCCCGACTCGTTTGCCACTTTGCCTTGCTTGGGCCACAATCAACAAAGCATAATGCTATTATAAAGTTAATTATATCCATTTCACTTTAACAATCACATGAAAATTGCACTCGTTAGAAGCTTGATTGGGTTTTGTACAATTATAATGTTAATTAACTTTTGCAAGCCATTTATTTATAAGTGGTAAGGTTAGAATTCAAGCTACAAATATTACATAATATATATATATATATATATATACATACACACACACACATAATAGATGTTTTATCATAGTTCACGTAGTAGTGAAAACAAGACTAATTAGTTAAACAAAGAATTTCAAACTGAACGAAACACTCAAACAAGACTAATTATTTGGTTGATCTGACGTCGACTTCATTGTTACATAAAAACTTTTACATTAAAGTTCATATATTAAGCCACCCCAATGCCTTCACAATATTTGGCAGCTGAACTTTAAAATACAAGCAAGAGAGAGAAAAATAAATAAAAAATAAAAATAGAAATTAAATGTTGGTGGCATTATATTGATTTTGTTGCTCCTGCTGATCATCTGGATCCACATTAATCTCCACATTAACTTGCTCCTCAATGTTGACATTGAACTTAGTTCCCTGTGGTGGTGTGCCATTGGGTCTATTATGCATACCATTTGCCCCTACAACGCACAATATATAATTAGACTAATGCAATATATCAAAATTCAGAATTGAAAAAAGCTAAGCACATTATATATAGTTAATACATATATAGATGACACAAATCACTAATAATTAAGTGTGTGTATATATACCTGTTGCAACCACAGCGGCTCTTTTTCTTCTAGAGTTCAATACGTATGAATATCCTGCAATAGCCCAAATTACAAAGACAGATGGAATTGTGCCCCCAAGTATTGCTGGTAGTTTATTGCTCTTTTTCTTCTTGCCAGTACTTCTACCAGAAGATGGAGTGACCGGGAATTCAGATGAAGTCGGTGTAGTGTCAGTTGTCTCGCATGATTTGCCGGCTGTGCACAAGTCTGGATTTCCCGTTATCCTGTGATTCACCCAAATTTAAAAGCAATAAAGATGATTATTATATTTTTTTTGTCAAATTAAAATTTAATCATAGAAAAAAGATTGAATACTAGCATAAGGTTCTTCAAAAATATAATGCACAAAATTATATAATAAAAATTAAGCAACAAACATAGATATTGGAAGTAAAGTAAGCTTACACTAATTTTAGATTGTTATTGTTTGATAATGAAGTGGGTATGTCTCCACTGAATTTATTGTCTGCCAAATTCCTAGAATTTAAAAGGAAAAAAAAAAAAAAAAAAAAGGTTAGGACATTGGTTAATTAGTTCCTCACAAGAAAAAAAAAAAAAAAAAAATATATATATATATATATATATATATATATATATATATATATATATATATAGTGTATAGTTGTATACTAACAATTGTTTTAAATTAGGCAAGGTGCCAAGGAAGTCCGGAATAGGCCCAGATAAGCTGTTATTGTGCATATCTCTGCAATTTAAAATAAAATAAAACACACAATTAATGTATTAATTAAAGCTTAGAGATATGATATATGTAAACTTCATATTTCATATATTTTTTATTTGAACTAGCTCTCACATCGTCTCAAGAGCATCCATAGAACTAAAATCCGGAAGTGGACCAGAAAGGCCGAAGCTGCTGAGATGCCTGCAAATTTGTTTCAAAAAGGTCAATAAAAGCAAAATCAATAAAAATGGCAAAAAAAAAAAAAAAATTTGTGAAGGGGATTTACAGTGCCGTTACACGAGGACTGGCATCAGTATTACAACTGATCCATTCCCATGAGAATGGTGATGGAAGACAAGGGTCACCACTCCATTGTTGTAAATCAACCAATCCGGTTTGTAGCGAACTTAATCCTGTAACTAAATTAGCAAAAAAAAAAAAAAAAAATCAGTTCATATAATAACAAGATTAATCATATAAAAGATTAAAAAAGTAAGTACTAGTTAAACACCAACCATCATTGCTATCTGTTCCATCTGTTAACGCATCACTGACAAGATAAACTTCAATGGCATTGATGAGAGGTGGGAGTGTTGAATCGGTAGTAGGCCTCAAAGAAAATGTGTTGCTCGAAGATGAATTAGTTGAGTTGTCTTTATAGTATAATTCGAAAACATCTACATAAGGCGGTATTATGGGATCCGAAAGTGATTGATTGTTTTCGTAAAAAGTGAAAGACCTCTTTTGTGTTGAATCGAGCTGAATCACTTCGGAAAAATACATAAGAATGTAGATGGATACCACAGGAGAATTAGAGCCCAAGCTTATATAAGCTGATGAGCTTGAAGTTGTAATCGCATTTTTCATCACAGGTTCTGGAGGCTCGTCTGGTGCCTTAGTAGTTTCAATAAATATTGCATCACTACTCACGTCAATTAGTCCATTCCCAGCCACTCCTGGACCCCAAATTCGATCATAAGCATCATCCGGGAACCTGATAATTTCATAATAAGAATATATACATATAAGCAATATATATATATATAGTTAGAACAAAAGCTATGAACGTTCACAAATGAACAATAAATAACTTTGAATTCACAAAGTATATAAGCAAATTAGAGAATGTTCGCAGATGGATTCTAATTATAGGTACATATATAGAAGTTATTTATAGGTTAATTACCTGACACTTGCATTTGAACCATAAGAAACCCTATTTTTCGTAAACATGGCATAATTCGAATCAACTTGGTTGTACATATGGATGCCCAAGCTACGGAATTCAAGAGCTGATATAAATGGGAACTGGTCAGGCTTGGTTTGAGCAACACATACGCTCGTAGTGTCCCCTTTCACAATATATACTGCCTCGTAGAAAACGAGTTCGGTGCTTGAGGTCACAACTGTAGTCCAATGGTTACCATCAAATTGAAGATCAAAAGAAGGAGGAGAAGATTTTTTATCGTAGTTTCCATAGTAAAAGCTTGCGCGGACAAGAATTTGACCACCCTTTTCGGCGTTAATGGAGTAACAGTTCTTTTTCCGGGCTGTGAACACTCTCAGTGTGTCCATCACATGAGACATTGAGTTGCTCGATTGCACCACTTGGGTCACCCCATCTTGGAAGAAGTCTTTGTCTCCCGACCATGGTATCGAATTTCCATCCGTGTAAGAATCAGACGCTCCACAATCGATGCTAATGAAAACTGGAGATCATTTAACATGAAATTGGATAATTGTTAGTGAATAAAAATCAGAAAAATAAAATAAGGAAGATAATTAAAAATATATGACAAACTAATAGTATATGGTTTGATACTAAGCTTACCCTGAGCTGATATTGATGAGGCAGAGAAAACTATGACAAGCAACAATAAATGAATATCCATAATGGGATGGAGAATGAGAGATGGAGAGGGACTGCTTATTTATGGGGATGGTTTTTTAACATTGATATTGTGTTTTGATTTTCTAATATTTGAATATTGGTGAAGACAGTACATTGGTGACAAGGTTTTTGATCAAGTGGGGTTTGATGGTGATTGATTATTCTGATTCACTTTGATTTGAAAGATTGAAGATATGCGAAGACGACCAAGTCCATTTAATTGTAATTCAACTGTCATTTTTATTTTTTTTGACTTCGTCGCTAGTTTGGTCCAATAAACTAGCGAACTGCCGCGACATGTCTTGGAATAATGGAAAATGGATTAACGTAACTCCAGGGATATAGAAAAATATTTTTCTTTGATTGATCTTGTTTTTGTTTTTGCATAGTTGACATTGACTTTAATAGCTTTAGCTATCGAAGTCAACCAATTGATGGATAAAAAACTCAAAGAAACGGAATTTGCCAGTTATGGAGTATAACTCGGTACATGTAGTCAATATCTACGGCTGGGGTGGTTTATTTTGAGAGTTGACTTGTGATGAGCCAAGTCAGTCAATGGGCTGGTGATAATTTTCAATCCAACAATGATTGTCTCTTCATTCTGTGAGTAAGAATTTTTATGATGAAATGACGCGTATTTGGAGAGCCTCACTCTCTAATATCTCCATGAAAGCAGTTTGTTAACATCATCAATCACCTTCAATCTGAACTTTGCAATTTAAACCCAGTTCTTCAATAATTTAATGCTTTCCTTTAGCACGATTGTCTCCGTCATGAAGGCGAAGTTAATTGACATTAATCTTTAAGAATCATGCCATTTAAGTCTCTAAAGATAAAGCCTCCACCACTAGATTTTGATGGATAAGCTGCCACGGGGATCCAGGTGCGACCATTTTTCAGGGAGAGGTCACATGAATAACACTGTTATTATATTATTTTATTTAGTCATGAAAAAATGATTCTGGACTTGTATAACATTGTAATTTCAATATAACACGAACAAATATATCAACTCCTCCATTGAAAACTCAAGAATGCCCTTATGGTGAGAATATAGGAAGCGACTGGAACCTTCCCTCCTCCTTTGAGCCAAACTTGTCACACCCTTTCTTTTCCTTTTCTTAGGCGCTGCCATACAGAACCATCTCCAATACATTCAATTTTATGAATGTTGCTGCTCCCTGCCCCATGGCCTACATTGTCAGTTGATAGTTTGCAGGGATAGGGTTTTGGGCCTATTTTCTTTATCTTGGTGTTTTCTTTTTCATATATATTTGATCTGTTGCCAAATAGGCCCTTGGGGTATGCCTCAAGTTTTCTCTCTATATCTATATTATTTTACTAACCGGAAAGAACTTTATTTTTGGGTCTTTTATTTTGGGTAATTTATTTTTGGGTCCTTTGTTTTGGATAATTTATTTTTTGGATCTTGTCAAAAGAGATCGAAAACATTAAAAATTTGAGAGAAAGGGGGGAAGTGGCGAAAGACAAAAAAAGACAAAAGATCGTTGTATATCTAATAGACTAATTGTGTAATTTGAAAAAATAAAATAAGATCATTCACATATGAAATTAAGATGGGAGTGCGAACTTAGAAAATGGGTGTGGGAATATTGTCTTCTTAAATTTATTCGTATGAATATATAAATCTATCTATATCTATATTTATATCTATATTACTGTAAAATTGTATAGAATTTTTAATTTTCATATACACTTTAGCATGTTTTATATACCTTTTTATTTTTTTATTTTTTGTTGATTAATTCCAAAAGAAGTGGCTCATTCAAAAGTTTTCCAAAAGTCACATCTTTATTTTTTATTAATTGAAAAATAAGTGATTCATCTCAAAATTATTTAAGCTTCCAAAAGCCACATATTTTCTAAATAATATTTTTAATTTTTATTTACATTTTATAATTTTTATTATTATATTAATTAATACCAAAGTAACTCATCTCAAAAGTCAGTTTTCAAAAATCACAATCTTTTTTCAATCTGACTTTTAATTTTTATATGCACTTTAATTCTACCTTTGTATACATTTTTTATTTTGTTGATTAACTTCAAAATATTTTGTTCATCCTAGAGTATTCCAAAAGACATTAAAATACTCTAAATTTTTTTATTGGTATATTTATATATTTTGTGTAACATTGTCTGAAATTCTAGAATTGCATTGCAGGCTTCAAAATTTCTCATATATAGAGAGAAGTGAGAGCTCATTTGTTACCCACCAAACAACCATAACTCTTTTACTTTCTTTTATAAATACCACAGACTGCTATCATTTTCAAAGACCTGGTTGGTTGATATTTGTGGACATGAGACTTGTGGTTGCTGTGGAAGAGTAGGCAGTTTTGGGGCCTTCAGCTCTATTGATGAGGGAGCTGCTCATCTATGTACAATATTATTGTCCAAATGATATTGCTTATATTCATAAATAATACTCAATACTGATATTGAATGACTCTTTCCAGCAAGCAATCCAGATACTGGAGGAGATACTGAAGACATATGGTAGTAGTAAGCATTCTTCACAAGCGAGTGACTAACTTGTATTAGTTTTAAACAATAGAACTCGTCTTATTGTGGCCTTGCTTTCCTTCCTTCTCTACAATTCCATCTTCATTCTTCAGGCTTTACAAAGCTCCAACAGCATCCTGATTTACGAAACAATAGTGTAAATGCAAAATAACAATGAAATATAGTGTAAATTCGAATTGAGAAAATCTAGACGACTACAAAAAGTAAAAGCTAACCTATTTTATTTTTGAGTAATCCAAAATGTTGGTCCGATCCCCCCAACCGAGTCTACATGGCAATCTAGTTGTCAATTGATGTGGGTTCCATTTGCAGTTTTTTTTTTATAATTAAAGAAGAAAGATTATGCCAATGGTCAAGTAATAAAATAAAAATTTACGCCACAAGACAAGATGGTGACATCCACGTCACGGTATGACTGTTTTACATCCTTTGGTTTGCAAAATGATAACATTGTCATGTCATTTGTTTTGTTTAAAAAAATATGGGTGCATAAAGGAACAACTAAGAAAACTCACTTTTAACCCAAAAAAACCAAAAAAAAAAAAAAAAAACCACTAAGAAAACTCACGTTAACAAGCTCTGTACGAGCTTCCCACAAATCATCATTGCTTTTCCGCTCCTTAACGGTAAGAGCTTGATTCAGTGCTTCTAGATCATCGAGTTCCTCTTCCTTCTCTATAAGATCATTTTCAATTGACTTCATCTTCCTCTTAACTTCCACATCATCCAAGTGTTTCATTACTTGTATAGCTCCCCTCATGCACTCTATTTCCAACTACAACCTTTGCTTGGCATCAAGTTTCTTTTCCAGTTCAATAATTCTTTTATGAAGCTCTTGCTTTTGCTTCGGTCATTTGAAATCAGTCATGTAAAAGTCATAATTTTTTTTTTTTTTTTTTCCTAGTTGAGAAACTCACACACGCTGCTTCCACTGAAATTCGAACCCCTAACTTCCCTTTAGGAAGTAGGAGCCTTATACCGCTAAGTCACAGGCCTGTTGGTTCATAATTTTTTTCTATAACTCACAAATTTAATTTTAACCCGAGCAATTAAATTAAAGCAGAAAAATGGTTGGGCAAGCACCTTTTGATCTTCTGCCAACTACCCCATTTTCTTATCAGCCTTCTTTTGCTCCAAAATTGCCCTTTAGTTTCATTCTGCAGGAACAAAATCAATTTTTTTAGGAACTTATGCCTTGATTAAAAAATACTCTTTTGAAACATTTCAATTTGACCAAACCTGTCTCAAATTGGGAGATAAAATTTAATAGAGGCATTAAAATTGTTAGAATTGTTAGAAAGGTATGTGAATGTAACTTGCCTACAACGTGTCTATATATCACATTAGAGTGCAACATGTGAATGTCAACTATATGTTGTTGCAACGTGATTATACCAGTCATATACTTTAAAACATGGTAGTTGTAAGACAAACCTATAAAGGCTGGGTGCTTGCAACAACGTATCCTTTGATGGAAAACTCTATCTGTCTTTTAACGTATTTTTATGGTGATGATGTATAGTCGATCTGCACAGTATATAGTTTGGTGGTGTGTATGAACTAAAATGTCTACCAGAACTTTTGCGAAAGCCCTTCCCGATGCCTTCCCAATGACTTTTTCATATGCCTCGTTAAACCCAAGTGCTTCCCCTTCTCTTCTATGAAAGCCCTTCCCAATACCATTTCGTGTTTCTTCCCGCGACAATATGAGCATCTATATTTCCCATCTGAAATTTGCACTGTTAACACTTAACATTCTTCAACTGCTCATGATATTTATCTGCATATTCCTCCAACTCAGACTCACTAATCTCTGTTTCCTCTTCTGCCAACTCCCTCATTTTCTTATCAGCCTTCTTTTGCTCCAAAATTTCCCTCATTCTTCAAGTTCACATGTACTCTGCTGCTACTTTTTCATCTCTAATTAACAAAAAGTAAGATAAGTAAAAGGCATAAGAAATCATAATAAATGGAAAACTTCTTTAGCCATGATGATTTTATAAGGATGACAGCTTGTACTCCTGAGATAATCCTCTCACATCAAAATCATGTTAAAAATATAGTAAAAGTCACAATCCTGCAAGAAACTTGACATGAGTTGCGAAAAGCGTGTTTCTGTTTCCTTTTACGTTTTTAAATGTTAAAGTACTCCATATATTCAGATCCAAAAATGGGATTGGAAGATTGGGTAGCTTGCAAAAATAATGAACAAGTCATCTTACAGAATCCAACATTTTGAATCCTTCAATTTACAAACTTGTTTACATGAACAATCAAAATCGTGACTTAAAAATTCATTTTCAGAAAAAATCAAAACTTGGAATTTAAACCATAATATGTTAGCTAGTTGATTATCTGTCAGTGTCATATATATATATATATATATCAAGTTACAATCAAAAACATCAACCCTCCTACTCAATAAAGCCTTTTCGCACAACCCGGGGTCGGAATCATATATACATATATAGTAATTAGACACTGACAAATTATATCTAATAAGAAATAGTTAAGCTCCTTTTTTCCTCTCAACAAAATAAGACTCCTATCTCAAAACATGTCACATATCAAGAAGAACCATGCAATGCTTTAACCTAATATGCACATGAAAAAAAAAAAAAAAAAAAAAAAAGAACCAACCACCAAGAACAAAGTGAAACAGAGAACATGGTTAGAATTTGAGAGGAAAAAAATTAATATTTTTAAAATATGGAGAATAGTATTGAAAGTATTCTTTACAAAAGAACGAGATGAATTTAAATAGTACATATAATCGAAAAAATAAACATGTAATTATAAACCTAAAATGTCAACTAAAGAAATAAGAAGAAGACGGGATAGTACTGAAATTAACTACCCGAGGGGAGAAGAGATGCGGCTGCGAAGATTAGGGTTTGCAAGAGAGTTTGATATTAGGGCTTTGCAAGAGAGTTCTCAAGGAACTCCAAGCCATTATTAGAACATCTCACAGAATGTAGAGAAATAGAGATAGAACTTTACTGCATGTAGAGAAAAGTGGAATAAAGAGATGCACGTATTAATGGCGACTTTACTGCTTTTGGCCTTTCCGAGAAAAACAATTTATTGGTGCCGGGCCTGGTTCACTGAAATTTGAAGTAATATAAGAAGAGAATATACAGTTCAATTATTATTTAAAATTTTTAAAAACTCAGTTAAAGAGGTATTGAAGACTACAAAATATTGTTTTGAAAATAGATTTTTTTATAAAAATTAAAAAAATTGTCAAACAAAACATTTTTTTATAGAGTTTTATAATTGTCAATTATATGAAAGCAAAAAAATATTTTTCATAAAATTTAACCAAGGGTGTACTATATGTTGTTTAATTATCAAACAAGTTTTACTTTATTAAACTGGGGGCAGAAATTGATTGTCTTCCAATAAATATTTTATTAATTAGTAAGTTAATTAACATTTTTTTTATCCTTATAAATAACATCAATTCAACATTATTTCTTAGCCTCTTAGGGCCAGCTCTTTAGATGTAATTCAATATAATTTCTGATTACAAGTTTTTGAAATTGTTGATAAAATAAACATTGTCATATTTTTTTCACGGGAATGACACTGTATCTATGCCCATTATTATTATTATTATTATTTTAGCAAAGCAATAGGGACAGAAAGCTAAGAAACAAAAGAACATTCACGGAAAAGGGCGTCCCTTACACTCGAGGGTAAAAAAGGCCCCAAATCAGTGACAGAAGAAGAAAGAACAAAGTTAAGAGCAAATCTACACACTTCGTGCGCCTCTTGGTTACCGGATATCGGGGTCCAGTGGAGGGATAGGTCAGCGCCTATCTGAACCAGATGTTGCACATCCAAAATGATGTTTGAAATAGCTTCATCAATAAACTGAAGATGCATAATGGGTTGGCAATCTCCTTCAATGAGAACATTAGGGAGCCCCAAATCAATGCAAGTTTGGACTGCAACTCGAAAAGAGTGGGCTTCGGCAACGATTGCGGAAGGGACATTCTGAAACACAAGGCCAAAAGATCGAAGAAGATAGACTTCATGATTTCTGAGAATAAATCCCCCACCTGCTCTGTTAGTAGAAGCGTCAAAAGAGGCATCAAAATTTAATTTGATGGATGATTGTGGGGGAGGAATCCAATGTGAAGACAGAGGATGGGAAATTGGAACATGGAAATCCAAAAGGCTATCCTGAAGATAAAAAAAAATGAGAAGTTAGAGAAATCATGAAGCGCTCTATCAAGGATGATGTGGGGATTAACCCTCAAGTTGTTGAAAACCAGAGAATTCCGGCTCTTCCAAATATGCCAGCAAATAAACAAAGCCAAACTTGCACATTCAGGGAAGCATTTGTTATCATTCCAGGAGAAAGACGAAAAAATTCCATTGTATGAGGCAATTCACTAAGGTTACAGCTCAAAGATTAATCCATCTTTTATGCCATTCCATGGGAGGAGAGTTAGAAAAATCAAGACGAAGAGGGCTGAGCTTCCAAACAATTTGGGCAAAAGGGCAAAGACAGAGGAGGTGGTCAACTGATTCATTATCCAAACCACAAACGTTACAGAGGCCTTGGTCTTTAATGCCTTTGATTTTGAAAGCTTAGTTGACTGGAAGACGACCATAAATGGCTTGTCAGATAAAAAAATGAAGCTTTCTCGGAGTCTTGATTTTCCAGACATTCTTCCAAATGAGCTTAAGATCCGTTTCATAGCTGCAACCAATGCCTTGATGACTCGGGGTGGGATTGATAATGGAAAGAGCAGCGTTGCATGCTGATTTAACAGTGAACTGGCCATTAGGAGTGAGACCCCAAATCTTAGAATCAGGTCTGTTCAGAGAGCTTAGGGAAATCTGAAGGATACGAGCACTATCTTTAGGATTAAAAGAGTTGAGCACCACAGAAGTCTTCCAAGATCGACTTTGGTGGTTGATGAGATCGGCAACCGTATGAACATTACCACCAACGAAAGCTGAAGTAACCTTGAAGCTGGAATTTCCCGAGAGCCAAGGAGCATTCCAGCAATTAATCGATTTACCATCACCAATTCTCCATTTAAGGCCTTTCAAGATGATCTCTTTAGTCGCACTGACGATTCTCCATACCCAAGAGTGCCCCGGAGAACATGAAGAACCGAGGAAACTGCAATTCCGAAAGTAGCGCTGCTTGAAAATTCTAAAAAGCATAGAGTCATTTCCGACTTTGAATTTCCATGCTACTTTGGCAAGAAGAGCAATGTTAAAAGCCTCCAGGTCTCGAAAACCCAAGCCCCCATTCTATTTGAGTCGCACATCTTACTTTAGCTAATCCACTTAATTTTGCTGGATTGTGATTTGCCGTTCCACCAAAAGTTGAGCATGTTGCTTCTAATTGAATTAATGGTTACTTTAGGGATTTTGAAACTTTGCATGGAATGGTTGGGGAGGGAAGAGATGACCGATTTAAGTAAAACCTCACGGCCAGCCTTGGACAAGAATTCGCCTTTGAGAGTCTTAATTCGAAAGGAAGTTTGGTTGACCAGATAGCTGAAAGTGGATTTTTTGGATCTACCCAAAACAGAAGGTAAGCCTAGGTATCGATTGATCCAGTCAACATTAAGGATATCAAGAGCTCTTCTAAGTTGATCTCTAAGCTCGATGCTTATATGTGAGCTGAAAAACAAGCTGGATTTGTCAAAATTTACAACTTGTCCAATGAGAGAACCATATTTAGAGATGATGGTTTTCAGATGCAGCGCTTGGGAAATGTTTGCCTTACAGAAAAGCAGAGCGTCGTCAGCAAAGAACAGGTGGTTGATTGGATCATAACCTCTACCGATCGACACACCCTGAATGTGATGATTTCTCTCCGCATCTTAAAAAAGAATTGAAAGCCCTTCAGTACACAACAAGAAAAGGTAAGGCGACAGAAGGTCGCCTTGCCTAAGACCCCTTTGGGGAACGAAATTATCACCACTTTCCCCGTTAATCACCAGAGAGTACGACACTGTTGATAAAAATTCCATTATGATTTGAACCCATTGCTCTGCAAATCCGAGATGCAAAAAGAGGCGTTTCAAAAAACTCCATTCCACTCTATCAAAAGCTTTGGACATGTCAAGTTTAAAGGCAAGGTGGCCTAACCGCGGCTTGGTCTTCATGGCATAGAGGAGTTCATAAGCCAACATAGCATTATCATGAAGAAGCCGACCTGGGACGAAAGCAGTCTAATTTTCACTAATAAGAAAAGGTAGAAGCTTTTTCAATCTGTTGGCAATCACCTTGGAATTTTTTTTGTAAATTACGTTGCACAAAGAGATAGGGCGGTAATGTATTTTGGTTGGGTTTCTAATTTTGGGAACGAGAACTATATTTGTGGTGTTCAGTGATTTCAAAAGATGACCACTAGAGGGGAAAGAATTAAAGCCTAAAACGAGATCATAGCGCAACAGGTTCCAATTTGATTGGAAAAATAGAGGGGTGAGACCATCTGGGCCAGGAGCTTTGAAGGGACCCATTGATTTAATTGCTGAAAGGATCTCATCTTCAGTTCCTGCACTAAGAAGGTCAGAATTCATCTCCGGAGAGACCTTCGAAGGAACAAGGGACCAAAAATCATTATCTAAAGCAGAGCCCTATAAGGAAAAGATAGATTTAAAATAAGTTTCAGCAATAGTGCGCACACCTTGTTTGGAATCACACCATTTTCCGGAGTCATCTTCCAATCCCAATATTGAATTTTTACTTCACCGAATTTGAGCCTTACAGTGGAAGAAAGCAGTGTTGCAATCTCCATGCTTGAGCCAGTCGATACGTGACTTTTGCTTCCAAAATAACTCCTTATCTCTCAAAGCTTCCCTGAGCTGCCTTTCAATATTGCAAATTTCAGATCTATTGGAAGCTAGCCCTTGTTCCTTAAGCATCACCAATTGGCTTTGAAGAGTTTTAATCTGAATGTGCGAATTAGAGCATGAGCGAGAACTCCATGACTTGAGAGAGGCTTTACAGTGCGCAAGACGTTGCTTTAAGCAAAACTGAGCAGACCCAATAACAGGAAAAACCCAAGCATTACTAACAACCTGATTAAAGTTTTCTTGCTTGACCCAGCGAGCGTCAAAATGCCACTGTTTTTTGGTTGGTAAAAGAGAATCATTCAGGCATAGGAGGAGAGCACAGTGGTCTGATTCTGTAACCATAAGGTGAGCTAGGGAACAGTGCTTGAATTTTGAATGCCAGTGGGATGTGCAGAGGGCTCTATCAAGCCGGGCCATGATAAAATCTTTCGATTCTCTATTGTTCGCCCAAGTGAATGGGAACCTTTTAAAACCCAGATCAGAGAGACGAAATCCGAGATAAAATTCCAGAAATCCTTAAGCATCCAATTTTGAGTGGTTTGACCTCCCCGATTCTCATCTGGATAAAGAATATAATTAAAATCACCAAGGAGGATCCAACTAGCTCCCAGTTGAAATTTGAGGCTGTGGATGTAACGCCATTGCAAGGCTCGTTAACTATCGGAACATGAGGCATAAATGACTGTGAGAAACCAACTGTCACTACCAGAGGAGCCAAAAACCTCACATGTAATCTGAAAAGTGGTACAGTCAATAATCTTTATATCCCAAGCATTAGAATAAAACAAGGCAAGACCCCCTGATTTTCCCACTGATGGGATAACAAACATTTCATATGCATCAAAATACCTTTTTATTCTTCCCAAACAGTCATCTGAATTTTTTGTTTCCAATAAACAGAAAATGGGTGGGGAATGGAGGGACATTAGCCTCCTCAATTGGGAAATTGTCCGGGGGTTCCCCACTCCCTGACAATTCCACACCATAACTTTTATTGGGGGAGTTGGGGCCATTCACGGCTGTTTTCCTCCACCGAATTACATGGTTCATCAACAAAATGAGTGATTTCTGTGTGTGAAGCAGAGAGAAAATCATCTTTGTACTTCTTATGGGGCTGAGTGATTGCATCTTCGGAGGGGAAGATTCGTTTTGTTACACAAAATGTGGGAGATGGGGTTGGAGAGGGAGAAGAAGAAGAAGAAATAAGGCGAGCTCTCCGCTTCCAGCACCTCTGTATTGAGAGGCCCTTAGTGACTGGGGTTGTAGAAAATGTGAAAGGGGCATTAACCAGTGAGGTTGGAGGGAGGATGGAGGACTAAAGTATTGGATTGGGTTGGAACTGGGTTTGTGATAATGGATTGGAGCTGGGAGTGGGTATTTGAAATTTCATTACGGGGCATAGAGTGGGGTTTATGCAAAGATTGTGGATCTGGTGAGAGAGGTTGTCCTTGAAAAAAATTAGAGTTGGACTTAAAGGGGTGGCTGAGAAATAAAAGGGGATTTGGTTGAAGAGAAATACCTTCGGGACTAAGACAGAAAAGCCCAAATGTGTGAGGGCCTGACATTTGTGGGCCGAGTAGAGGAGTGTCTAGAAGGGGTGTGTCACGTGGTGGAGCTGCATCCGGTAACGGTACAAGAATCGTGATATGGAAAATCTTTAAATTAAAAGCATAAAGTTGATACAAATTTTTTATTTCAAAATAATGTTGAGGTGGCATGTTCGATATTACCATAACACTGGCGTGATTGGCATTTTTGATATATACATATTGACTGTTTTTCTAAATTAAGCTTTTTTTATTTTTAATTTTTACATAAGAGTAATTTTTTGTTTCAAAAGACAGTTTTCATACTTAATCACGCCTTACGAGATTGGAAAAAAATTAGTAAATAAACTTCCTTAATCTCATTATTATTTTCTTATTTGCCTAAATGAAGATAATCTATTCTCCTGGTTCATCCTTTTTATTTATTTAAATTTTTTTTTTTTTGGGGGGGGTAAATCGATGAATTTATCGGATTTGTGGCCGCCGGCCTTGTCAACTTAAAAATGCCAAAAATAATAATAATAATAATATTAATGTAGCAATATAAATGTAGCAATAAGAATATTATGTGTTATGATAACTTGAAAACCATTTGTTTATGTGTATGTTTCTTGTAAATTGGGTCGAATTGGATTACAAGAAAATTGTAAAAACAGAGTTCTATCCCTCTCTCTCTCTCTCTTTCTCAACAAAAAATGTTTAATAATATATTTGTATATTTAATTCTAGTATCATAATGATGTAATTCTGAAATATGTAGTTCCATATATGAATGCACAAACACACACACTAGGGATGGCATTGCCAGCCCCACCGGGGCCCCGCCCCGTTTATAATGGGGATGGGGATGGGGTAAATTGTGAATCCCCGCCGGGGCCGGGGCCGAGGATGGGGTAAACCCGCCCCACCCCGCCCCGATTAAATATGAAATTACTAATATACCCTTATATATAATAATTTATTACTAAATTATATTAGTATATATAAGAACATTCTAAGTTGTTTAACCCTAGCTACTTTCATTATTTGTATATTGTGTGGGTCGGGATTATTTCTTCTTCCCCTTAGCTTTCTCTCTCACTCTACAAAACACTCTCTCTAGAGTCTAGACTTCTCTATATCTCCTTATCTATAACGTCTTCTCTTATACATATATACATACACATAATGATTGGCCGGTTGCTTTGTTGGTTTCTTTCAACCAAAGATGCAGATACAGATCCATCACCACTGTTAAAGTCGCCTCCTCTTCTGCCACCAGTGGACTTTACTCCGCCAAAAAATTCGATCTCACAGCTGACAACGTCCACATCGTTCTAGACGATGTTCGCCCTTATTTGATCGCCGATGGTGGAAACGTCGACGTTGTATCTGTCGAGGACGGTGTCATCTCTTTGAAATTGCAAGGTTTCTCTATTCTATTCTAAATATTAATTGCCTCTTCATTCTTCCACTCCTCTGTTCCAATTGGATTTGAATTCAATTGATTCATTTTTTTATTTGGATTTGAATTGAATTGATTTCATTTTTTAATTTGACTTGATGATCGGAACAATTAATGAGTTTTATCTTTTATGATATGGGTTTGGCCTAATTTTTTATTTTTTAACAACAAGAATAAGAATTTTATATATGCTAGTTAGAAATACCAAATCAAATGATATCAATTTATGTTGTTTTCCTGCTCCAAAAAAATGTTTTTCGCTTTGTTATAACTTGGCTGTGCAAAAATTTTGAAACTAAGAAAAATTATGGGGCCAGGGCCGGGGATAGGGTGTCGGGGGCGGGGGCGAAATTTTAAGCGGGGATGGGGGCAGGAATGGGGATTGAAAATGGGGGCGGGGATAGGGATGGGGATGGGGATGGGGAATGAGATCCCCGCCCCACCCCGCCCCGTTGCCATCCCTAACACACACACACATGCATATATATATATATATATATATATATATATATATATTGTATTTTCCTTGAAGACAAAGAATTGTTGGCACATGTAGCTACTAATACTTTTGAAATGATAATTACCGGGAAAAAAGAAATCAAAAAATAAAAGAAAATCTTTTGGAGATTGATGTAAGATTGCAATCTCTTAAAAAGAAATAAATAAAATAAAAAATTAAGCAATGTTGTTGTAGATGTGATTAAGAAGTCTTAACTTGCTCATGCTGTACTTATATTATGTGTCACACCCATAAAATCCTCCATCAAATTCCAACTTAAAACCAGTTTATGTGGATTGCTTATCATTAAAAATGGTGACAAAATTTGGGTAATTCTATTTATAGAATGGGCATCAACTAATTAAGTGTTTTTAAAGATTGGAATTTGTTTAAAAGAAGTGCAGTTCATGGCACTTTGGTTTTTGAAAAATCTAGTTTATTAAGTATTGGTGATTTCATATGTGTGTGCGGGTGCTGGTTTTGATTTATGCTAGTTAGGACTAAAATGTGATAATGCGGAACTTGTGATTTCATTTACTCTGATACTGATCATTTGTTTATGTGTATGTTTCTTGTAGATGTGTATGTTGCTTGTAGGCGCGTATTGAGTAGACAAAGTCGTATGGTTACCTTACCCCACTAGAACATTCTCAATTGCAAAGACAATGAAACACTTCAATAGCCACTTATCTACCCTGCCTTGGACACACTTAGTTTGGTCCAAAAACTCAATACCCAAGCACTCATTCACTCTGTGGGTGGCCATACAGCAAAAACTCCCAACCCTTAATAGAAGGTGCACAGGCCATATCAATGCCACACAATGTTCTCTCTGTAACTCCCAACCTAAGAACCACAACCACATTTTCTTCGAATGTGAGTTCATAAAACCGTTATGGATATTTATCCAATCAAAATGTGGATTCCACATCAAGCCATCCTCATTGCCTAACCTTATCAACTGGGCATCACATCATTGGCGTAGCAACTCAGGATTCTACAACAGCTCAACCTCAAAACTAGCTTTGGCTGCTCTGGTCTACAACAGATGGATGGAGCGCAATAGAATGATCTTTCAGAGGAAGTTTCAGTCCCAAAACACTCTGCTACATCAAACATTGGACATGATCAGGATGAAACTCATATCCTCAGCAGTCTCGGACTCTGCAAGGCGTGTTATTAAGGAATGGGACCTCCCTTCTTCAGTTATTCGTCCACCGGCTAAACCACCTGACAGAATTTGAAAGGGATTTGGGGGAGTTCACATCTTCCATGCTCACTGCATAGTGATTCAACCTATATTGGTTTCTTGTTTCGTACTAGGCTGTCTAGGCTGTGGGCCTGTTTAGGCTGTCTCTTGCTTGGTTAGCCTGG